AAAAAACCAACATGCATAAGATTACCCAAACAAACAAACCATGAATAAAAAGACATGGATTACTCGTTGTCCAGAACTGATGTCGATCGACACCCACAACTGGTGTCAATCATCACCCTCGACATCAATCAACAGTGTCGACCGACACCCGTCTGGTGTCAATCGTCATTCGCACGCGCCATTGATGGTGTCAACTGACCTCCGCATCAACCTTGAAATTGCATATCTACTCTCCTGGGAACGATTCCACACCCTTCCAAGGTTTCAACACAAACCTTAACACTCTAACATGCAATCGTAGAAACCAAACCACATAAAAACTGAGACAGAAATAATTTCTAGCCATATAAACAATCAAACACATATCATAGAGACATAATATGCTCATATCAGCCGTCACGCACCCACCTTTGGAAGGATTGAAAGGATACTAAAAAAAGTGAAGAGACAGCATAAACATGATCCTCCACATCTACACCACAACCACGGATCTCTACAAATTCTTGCTTACGACACCAACTCTCAAGTTCTCTCTCTTTCACAACTCACAGAAAGCGGCAAAAGAAGAGAAAATTAACCCAAAAGAGTGGTTGCTAGAGTTTAAACACGACCTAGGGTTTCGTCCCAAATAAATTCAAGTTAAATCAACGATTAAAACCGTCTAAACCAAAATTGATGGTGTCGATCGACACCCTCCCTTGATGTCGATCGACAATATCCCCTAAACAGGACACGGGTGTTACACCATAACTTATCTAAGCTTGTGAATCATAAAGCAAAATGAAGTACGTCACTTGACCAAATCCGGAGTACAAGATATGGAATCGACAAGATAGTCTAATCTCAGTGCTTTACTTTGTGTTATATCCATCTCTGTTCAACTGCTGCTCTCCAACACCAACACGTCCGCTGAGATCTGGGAGACACTAACGGAGATCTATGCGAATCCAAGCCGTTCACACGTCCAATAAGTGAAGCAGCAAATAATGGCGTGGAAGAAAGGAGACAAGACCGTGGAAGAGTATTTTCTCGGTCTCCCTACTTGCTTTGATCAATTGAAACATCTCGGAAAACCAATGGAACCAGAGGATCAGATTGAAAATATTTTAGGCGGCCTTCCTAAAGAATACATACGTGTCGCAAAACAGATTAAAGGACGTGAGCGTTGTCCTTCCTGAAGAATACAGACGTCTCGCAGAACAGATTGAAGGACGTGAGCGTTGTCCTTCTTTACATGATGAAATCAAGTTAAAGACCCTCGTCGAGTCTTCTCCATTGCTTCCAGCGTCTACTAATGCTGTTCAATAACGTAGGATGTATGGTCAAGGTCGTGGTAATCAGAACTGACAACAACAAGAGCAGTATCAACCTCTTCCAAATTCCTCTCAGTCTCGGGGATATAAGGGACGTTGTCAGCTTTGTGGGGTGCATGGACATAGCGCACGACACTGCTCATAACTTCAGCTTTCCGGAGCTCAGTTCGCCCCCTTTTCTCAATCGTCTATGTCACCGGTTCAATGGCAGCCATGAGGTTATATGGCTACGACCATGTCTCCAAATGCAAACAAAAACTGGCTTATTAATACGGGTGTGACGCATCATATCACTACGGATTTGAATAACCTCGCTCTTCATCAGCTCTATAGGGGAGGTGAAGAAGTTACCATTGCGGATGGCTCCGGTCTCAAGATAGCGCAAACGGGTTTCACTTTTCTTCCTACTTCCACTAACCTTATATCCGTTTACCGTTTGTGCAATGCTAATCACGTATCTGTGGAATTCTTTCCTGCTCATTTTCAGGCAAAGGATCTCAGAACGGGGGACCGGTTACTCCAAGGGAGAACTAAGAACGAGTTGTACGAGTGGCAGTTTTAAAAAATCAAACCATCTCCTCTCTATTTGCTTCCCCCTCACCAAAAGCTTCACTTCCTTCATGGCATTCAAGACTTGGCCATCCTTCTCCACGTATTTTAAAAACAATTTTTCGCATTTTTATTTACCATGTTCTAAGTCAGCAAATAAAATTTTCCCTTGTTCTCATTGTCTTATCAATAAAAGCCACAAAACCACTTCAATATCACCAAACCCAAGAACAAACTCACACTATCCGCTATAACCACCAAAACATCCATTCCCACTACCGTAACTCAAGCTATGCGAGATGAGAAGTGGTGCCATGCAATGGGAGAGGAGATGAATGCAAAAATTCGGAATCATACGTTTGATCTGGTTCCTCCAAAACTGGATCAAAATGTTATTCCCACCAAATGGATTTATACACTAAAGTATTTACCTAATGGTTTGCTTGACAGGTACAAAGCTAGATTGGTCGCACGGGGGTTGAATCAACAGTATGGTATTGACTATCAAGAGACGTTCAGCCCGGTCGTCAAGTCAATCACCATACGAACAGTTCTCCAATTGGCAGTAACTCAGTCTTGGCGTATAAGGGAGCTTCATGTGAATAATAAGTTTCTTCATGGCACTCTTAAAGAAGAAGGTAACGCATCCCCTGGGATTTGTAGATAAGGATCACCCTCATTATGTTTGTCGCCTCAACAAAGCTCTCTATCGTCTTAAACAAGCACCAAGGGCGTGGTACCAAGAGTTGAAGACATATCTCATCCGTATGGGATTTTATAATTCTCTCGCGGACACCTCTTTCTTCATCTACATCTGAGGTAAAAATATTCTCTATACGCTGGTCTATGTTGATGATATAATTGTTACCGGCAGCAACAATTCATTCATTGATAGCTTAATCGAGTTTCTTGCTCATCGGATTTCTTTAAAAGAGCCAACGGATTTGCGATATTTTCTTGGTTTTGAGGTGACTCGTACGCGCAAAGCGCACTCACATGCTTAATGTGAATCTGTTCTCAACGTCTATGTCCCCTTCAACCGTTTTGACACTAGATACCGGTACTCTATATGATAAACCTGCGGATATAGTATGGTCGTTGGGAGTCTTCAATACCTGACATTGCCTTTGCTATGAACCTGTTATCACAATTTATGCATGCTCCGACTGACGTTCATTGGCAGGCCGCAAAGAGAGTACTTTGCTATTTAGCTGGGACGATCTCACATGGAATTTTTCTTCATGCTAAGACACCACTATCTCTTCTCTAATGCAACTTGGGGAGGTGATAAGACCAACATGATCTCGACCAACGCATATATTATCTACTTTTGTACAATTCCGATTGCATGGTCTTCTCGGAAACAAAAAGGTGTCTCTCGTTCGTCCACGGAAAATGAGTATCAAGCAGTGACGAATGCGACAGCCAAGCTCATATGGATTCTCTCTCTTCTTACAAAACTTGGTGTCAAGTTAACAGTTGCTCCGGTGCTATATTGTGATAACATAGGAGCTACATATATGTCCACTAATCATGTGTTTCATTCGTGTATGAAGCATATGGCCATTGATTATCACTTTGTTCGGGTGCAGGTTCAGTTCGGTGCACTACGAGTGGTTCATATATCAACGGACGATCAACTCGCATATGCACTCACCAAACCACTCGCCCTAAGTCCAAAGGATTCTTTCACAAGATTGGAGTGACTCAAGCCCCTCCATCTTGAAGGGGTGTATAGGAGATATATTTGTAAAGGATACTTAAGTCAATAGCATAGTATATAGTAGCCCTAATCTCTCTTGTATCACTTATATATAATGTACTCTCACTACCTAATAAAATCATTCAGCCTCTTATCTTATAAATTAGACCCCAGACATTTTAGTACCTACCTAATGTTTGATGAAATGTGTGATTAACTAATTCTAGAGATATTCTTGCCTAGCCTAAGATATTGGATGTTTAAGAAGGATATTGACATTAATGAGTTGTTTTTAATGCATGTTTAATGCATGTTTCATCAAAGAGATTGGAGAATAGGAAGTGACTTAAACTTGATTGTTTTTGCCAAGAGATTGGATTAACTAGTTTTATTAGTTCCTTGTCTAGGGATTAGCTTGTTTGCAGTTTGTTAAAAACGTTAAGTAGAATAATAGACTCCACCTACATCAATAACCTCATCCTCAAGATCTTTTATTCCATTTGTGTTATATGTTTACTTGTTACTTGCATGTTCAGTCTTGTTGGTGGTATTAATAGTTCTTTCGTTATAGCCTATGCATGATAGTCTATGCTCTGTAACTTTTTTCTCTTTTATGACGTTGTGTTCACCTAAGCTATTAGACAACAAAACCTTTTCTGCTTGGCTTGACGTAGTTATCTCTGATAATATCTTTATTGCTAGCATCACACCTAATTAGATTGATACCTATAGTACTCCAATGACATGATAGTAATCTAGAATAATTTATAAAGTAAAGACTAGTACAATTTGGCGACTACTTGGTGTCGAGAGACACCTACCATTGTATCAACACCCATACCGAAATCCCAAATGTTGGTTCACGGGTGTTACAATTATCCTCCATTAACATAGATTCGATCTCGAATATAACATCACAATCCAACCAAAATGAGCTCCAACTATCATCCAATTATTATACCTAATTCTTAGGTAAACCTAAACTCATACTAATGATTTATTTAAACATTTTTTCATAAATCCTTATAACCAAAAAAAAATATATACGATTAACATTCCTACAAACTTTTAACAAACGTATCCACATCTAATAAACAAACTATGAATAAAGAGCTCCTCCGCACATATGTTCAAGTATTGACCCTTTTTCGGCTTTTCTTTTGTTCAAGTATTGACCTATTTATTATAAATGTAAAATTTATGTTCCTTATGTATCTTGAATACTCATATAAATTTAACAATCAAACTTTAATTTTCTTGGTAATGCAAGTAAAATTAGTTAAATGATGACATGTTGATGTTGAGATGGTTGAAAGGAAAGTTAGAAAAGCTAACTAAGTAAAATTAGTTTTATATTTTATTATTTAACGAAGAATATTTATTGATAAAAAAATTAAATTTTTTAGAACAAATAGAAATATATATTATTTGTTAAATTAGCCAAGAAGAAATTATAATTAGCAATTTAGCATACACAAACACATTGTACGATAAATGGATTAGGGGCACATATCACATGACACCCTTCCTTACAGTGAAGACTTTGTGGTTTCGGAACCGGTGATAAAGCTTCATGATGCAACAAATCTTGAATACTTTTGTCGAGTAATAAACGTTTTCCATCAACATTTTGAACCGTTATGAGACTCATCACTGTAAAAAAAAATTGAAATATTATTGTATAAGAAAACAAAAACAAAAAAACAAAATTGGTATGTACACTTATCTTTTTCATACACAGGAAATATGAACTTACCGGATATAAAAACTAAAAATGTAGCAAAATCAGACTTCATTGATATATTCTCAATTTTTTTAGATGTTGAAAATATATGAACTTTGGAAACGTTTTTATAGAATGAATAAATATTGTAACAATTAAATGTCTTCTCAAATTAATAAAAAAAACAAAGACAATAATGAAGCATATTTATAATGAGTTTTGAATAATTTAAATAAAAAAATAAATAACACCATATATTGACATAAGGTCTAAAAATTTAATTCATTTAACTAAATAAAATAATTTTCTTTATTGAGCTTTCTTAATTCCAGCAAAGTATGATGGTCTAAAATATAATCAAAATCTCTATAAATTAATAACATTATAAGTCCTAATTAGGAAAATGATATTTTACTTATTGATAGTGATGTAAATCAATATACATTAATTTATAATTTATAAAAGTTCTATCCCAAATATGAGATTGAATTGATTTAAATAAATAAATGATAATGGTGTAAAATATAATCAAAATCTATATAAAATAATAACATTATAAGTCCTAATTAGTAAAATGATATTTTACTTATTGATAGTGATGTAAATCAATATACATTAATTTATAATTTATAAAACTTATATCCCAAATATGAGATTGAACTGATTTAAATAAATAAATGATTTCGTTGTTATAAATTGCACAATTTTAGATCTGAAAACTAAATGATGTTTTAAAAAATATTGATAATAATAACAAAAACAGTAAATGAATGAATATAAACGATATGCATAAATTTAATTATCTCAGCTTTCATATTTTCATAACCTAACTATAAGATTATAAATTAAAAATAGTTTATATAAAGATATTGAAAACTACAAAATATATTGGGAAAAATGCCATAAAAATCCTAGAGAGTACAATTTCGTTGATTTAAATCCCGAACTCTTTGACTGTTGATTTAAATCACAAACTTTCTGTTGACTCTATCTTTAATATGAAACTTTCGTTGACTTTGCCAATTTAGGCACATCTTTAAATGGTCAAACGGAGCAATTAAACGGGGTTAAATGTCGTTAACGAAATCCGTCAAATACAAAATGACACCAATTTTAACATAACCCAAACACTAAAACAATTAAACTTTTCCACAAACACCAGCAGTCAATTTGACGGTCCGACCGAATAGTAATCGTTTAAATTCGAGTTGAACCAACTTACCAAATCAGATATCTTCTAAGTTAGGAAATACATTACTTGATAATTTAGTTAGCTGATACATTACGTGATAAATTATTTAGCTGGTAATTTAGTTAGATTATATACAGTACTTGATAATTTAGTTAGATAATTTATATGGCACATTTAACACAACTTAAATTGTAAAATATTTCACATTCATAGCGGTTCGCCACTGGGGCATTAAAGCATTTCGTTCCACAAGTGGATGGGTCACATCCCACCTTGATAATTACACATTATATTATTTTACGATAGAAAATAAAACACTTCTTAGGAGGTAGATCCACTGTTTACACAACCCAAAATATCCACCGCTTGTTGCTCCTGGTAGTCTTCTTATCCGGGGCTGCCGCTAATAAGTTATTATTATACGCCAAAAAACAGATGTGACAATTGTGTCTTATATTTCATAAATTGCAGTTATAAGTCGAGAGTTAACAAAATTATCTTAGTCTCTAGGGGTGTTTAAGCTTTGATTTCAATAGATCCCTTCTTGATTAGAGATTTAATAGCTAGTTCTACCTTAATCATGTGAGATTAGGTCTAAGACATTTCAGCACCCAAAAGGTGTTTGATGAAATGTTCAAACCACTAATGCCAGAGATTTACTTGCTTAACCTAAGAGATTAGTTGCTTTAAGGAGTAAATTGACATTAATGAGCTTGATCTTTATGCCTATCTATTGTATGTTTCATCAATGAGAATTGAGATTAGGAAGTGCTTTAGATTTGATAATATTTGCCAAGATATTGGATTGATTATTTTAAGTGGTTCATTGTCTAGGCTTAGATCTATTTGAGCATGTTAAGCACCCCGATGAGATTAAGAGGATTCATTAACCAATTAACCCCATCCTTGAGACTTTTATTCATCTGATTGTTTACTTGCTTTTCATTTTTGCTTTAATTCTGCTTCTGTAGTTCTTGCTTGCTTTAGTATTGTTCTTAGATACTTAGTTTCATTCTGTCATTTACGTTTACGCATTTGAATTGATAAACCAAACTGTTAATTGCTTGGCTTAACTTGTTAGCTTTTGTTGCATCCTGCTTGTTTACATCTCACCCAAATTGGATCGATAAACCCTTTGTAATCATTGCACTGGGGAGATTAAAATCCTAAGGTTAAAAACCTAAGTATCATAGCTCATTGGATCTTGGTCATCTTTCCACCACGACAAACCTGTCCGCATTAGCTTGTCAATCATAGATGTGGATGCCTGCTTGTGAAAATCTCATAGAGCATCTACGCTACACATATGGTGGAGCTCTGATTTCATAATGGTCACTATCTGCCATTTTAGTTGCATACACGTGCGACAGGCATGTATGGCTGATGAAGTGGAACTTACGCCTGATGGCGTGAATCGCCATTTTTGTCGTGTAGTCCTTCTTCGCCAGGTTCATCAAAGTATTGTGGCGCCTCGCGGTCATATAGCACTGTCGGCACTGGAGCATCCCTGATTTTCAACATCCGTTCAGCGTAAACCCACAATCCTGAACCCTTCCATAACCGTGGGGTTTCCCACATTCCCCTCATGTTGATGTATGGTAGAAGTTGTTGCCCCCCCCCCCCTTGTGTGTCCCCAAGGTCTCTGCCTCGGCTACGAGGAGAGGGGCGACTAGTTTGGTACCTAAATGGCAAATGACTTTTATTAGTCGCTAACATCATCACACCAATTAAAAAATAATAGGTGGGAAAAACAATTTTGTTGTTTGCTAAAATGTAAATTATCATCATTAAATATGTTTCCTCTATCCTTACCCATTATCATCCATCTCATGTAAGTCTGGTGGTGTGCATATCGGTCCATCTGCGTCCGTAAAATAGGATGACATAATGTTGTCTCCTACAAGAACGTGTTTTAAACGTTTTAACAACGCCATATATAATTAACATATCGCACTAACATGTTATCAAATAACGTAAAACTTAAAGTCTGAGTCGATTAACTCTTCAGATTGAGCGACGTTGTCGTTGTCTGTGTAGGTGGTGTGTCATTGTACGAGCTTGTTAATGACAACAAAAAACAAGTAGTTGATTGGTTGTATCCGTAATTGGTACCGGTTGGCCTAAATGGAGACCTACGTTGGCTGGACCTGCTGTATGACACTCCTCACCAAAGTCGAGCTGTCTAGCTACACCTTGTCCCCAAGCCGACGCGACCCGACTCACATCCTCTGTATTGTTTTGGTGAGCGGTGATTTCCCTCAAAATGGCAGTTGTGTAGTTTTTGCGCCATTCTTCGAACACGAAATCTAACTCCTTAACCAGCTGTTGATTTCCTTGATCGGCAGCACTTGGTCTGCCCGCTGCTACGTCGTCATCAACTTTTGCCTTGCCCTTGTCCGCAGCTGATAACCTAGCTCTCGGTGACGATCTTGAAAATGCTTCTATTATTGTTTCCATCACCTCAGCAGATGTTTGATGCCTTACATGGGGTTGAGGTGTTTTGTCTTCAACTGCCTCCCGGATCTCGAGGTTTCGTGTTAACATTTTTGTTAACGTTGTATTCCAGATAGACTGTGTTTCCGTGGTATTCCAATACTTATCCGATATCTCCTTCGGGTCATTGCTCCCATACAAGATTACTTCGGTAGAAGTTAACATTTTTTTATTTGTCTGACTTCATGACCCTAACCCGCAGATGGACCTCTTCCAGATCCGCCCTTATGCCCATGAAAAAGTCATATTTTTGTCATCCATGATATCTATTGGGTATGCTTGTTTCCACTCAGGACCCATCATCCATTGTGGCCATTGTTAAGTAAGCTCGATATCATTGTCATCTCTTAGACCCATACGCTCCTTTACCGCACTAACAACTGTAGCAAAACTATCAGTCGCTCAAAGCCGCACAGCCAAAGTGAAGCCATCCATGAATGTAACATGCTTGTAGTTCCCATCGGCGTCCCTTTTCCACTATCCCCTAACCAAACGAACGATCATAGTCATAATTCTTCTTGCAACATGATAATCGTTAAATTAAAAGTTAGCAGACATCAAAAACTTTAAAAACTATTACAGCGAACACATGACGAGCTTTGGTGCATTTATGTGAGATTCTGTCATTAATACCCACCTGAGTATTGCAGATGCGTCTTCTGGGTATTCCTTACTAAAAATTCTCTCCTTCTTTAATTGTTTTGTGTCTTGTTGTAGAGCAACAACACTAAACGCTAATAAATAGGCTAAATTTTTTTTTCATTTCTTGTAACAACAAGTTAAGTAGTGTGTATAATTATTAGATTTCTGCTGCACAATCTTATTTGCAGAATCTTACTTCAGAGGCGTGTGTCAGGTGGCGCAAAATTGGCAGCCATTTAATGCTCTACTTGCCCCGACAAACAGCACATGCGAGGAGTAGGGCTTTTATTGTAATATTGACAGCTTCACTTTATAGTTGACTTAATTTCTTCACTTGCATGGCTACAGAGCTAATTATCCTCTTTTTTTTCTTTCTTTTTTTTTTTTCTTTTTTTTTTCTATAATAAAATCAAAAAATCCCAAATGGGCTGCGCCAGGCCTTACACAATTGAGATCCAATAAGCAAAAGAAAACGACAAAAGTTTCGGTGAAAAACGGAGAACTCTGAACCTGCTGATCGCCGGAGGCAAAGTGACCGGAGCCTGAAATCCGGCGGGCTCAAGAATCACGGCTTTGTGGCCACGACGAAGTATCAAAGACCAAGACAAAAGAGACCGGTTTCCGCCGATGTCCCCTTTCCTTCGTTGCACCAAACCCACCACAAGTCTCCCGGAAAGCTAGTCACCTCGACAACACGGTTCCGCGGTGGCAAATCCCGACCTAGCAATTAACCACTCTCAGAACTAACCTTCTCCTTCCTTCACCAAAGTTCACCGAGATCCG